ACATGTTTATATATATTATATATATATAAATTTAATCATGTATCTAAATTTTAATTAACTTTGTGTTTTTATTATCAAATTAATTACTTTTTTAATTTAACTTATAATTACAGTCAAATTAACTTATTTCTTTGGTTGACAAAAAACAATTTGAATGTTTTTTGACATTTTTTTCAAAATACCTTTTGAAGAAAATTAGTAAATTCTCATAATTTATCTCATAAAAGACAAAATAGAAAAATACGAAACAATAGATATTAAAGGAAATCTTTAATAATACATTTTACTGAGCTTATTCATTGGTAACGACTCTCTCAGTGGTTTATATAAATGTTTTAAGCTTCGCAACAAGGATACAAGAGAAATACGACTAAAAACCTGAACAGTTTGTTTGTTGTTTGTTTTATATCCAGAACCAAAGAGACAAACACTGGAATGAAAAATTTGGAAAATGCCTTATTAAGCAAAAGGAAGGACTTATGATTAAGAGTGAAACGACAGTGTAAATAAAATGAGGCAATAATTTTTGCAATACCATTATTTGAAAGGAGAGTTTTTTTAATGAGGAATTGTAGCTTATGTATTGAAAAATATTCGAGAAAACTTGTAGTGTTTGGGGAAAAAAGTGGTAGAGACCAAAACATGTAACATTGTTGAATTGGTGGGAAGTGCTTGATTTGCATGTCTTGGAACGTGTACCGAGGTGTTCGGCATTGTAGCAAAAAAAGAAATTAAGTGGGAACGAAGGAAAAAACACAATGTCACACAAACATCATATGTTTTAGCGAGAAAAGTTTTAAGTTAAAATGTTGAGATGAAAAGTTGTACTATGTTTGAGTGCTAAATACTTTAGTAAATTGTTTGGATGGAGTATCAATTTGCAAATTATGTATTATTGACTTGTTTACATTATTATGTTTAATTGTGTTTTTTGTTTGTTATCTAAGGTTTCTGATAACAAATGTATTTTTGTTTTCAATTTTGTTAAAAGAACGATTTTGACAAATTGTGTTATGGTATTTAATTGACATATTGTATTTTTTGTTTTTAGTTTTGTTATTGTTTTTTGTTTGTATTTTTGTTATAAAAATGTTATTAATCCCGTTAAATTGGTCATTTATTACCTATCATTTTTGGGAAGATAATTCACTTTCGGATTTGTTCATGTTTTAACTACATTTTTATTATAGTTTTAATTGTATTATAAATTTATTGTTTTGATTAAAAGGGAAAAATATATTTCCTCCTATATCTGCCGATGGATAAATATTGAACCCGAACCTGCCACGTCACAATAACAAAAACAACAAAATGTCATTCTTATGGTTTTTGTTTATAATATTGTTAATAATTAAAAACTATACATTTGTTAATAACATTTCCCGTGTTTTAATTATTATATGCAAAGATATTAAGTCGGGTTTTTCTTTAAACGGAATTGAAAAATTTCAATTAATCCTTATGAGGTTTCTTTTCATCTTTTTTGAGTTGATTACGGTTTATTACAAATCGCAATTTCTTTCTCTTGGACGCTTCATCAACCAATTTAGAAGTTTTAGTAGCCCTTTTTCCTTTGCATTTAATAGTCTTTGGATCTTTTATCTCTCCTTTTGAATACACGTTGGTGTCTTCTTTCAACTTT